CGACGCCGCGCCGGATCAAAGGAGAATCGATCGAGTCGAAAACTGGATTAGTCTTCCGTCCGAAGATCGCCGCGTACCGAAATGAAACAGGGGGAACGGGGCTGGCTGGTGCGTCGAACGAGGGAGCGTCGAGCACCGTCGTTGCCATCGTTGAAATTGTAGCCGTCGTGCGGCTTCGGTTTTAACCGGCTCGCGCTTCCACTATACCTCCGCTAGACCTACGACAACGTACAAAAACGTTCGATCTGCGTAAAGACGATGTAAAGTCCGATAAATATTACGATGCCGATCGCGTCGAGGTTCCCGAACGAGACGAGGGGAGAAACGAAAAGGGAAAAGGCGTCGCGACTACCCCCGCCGCGAACAACAGTCTCGCGTTCTTCGAAAACCAGACAAAATTTCCTTTCTCCGTCGCGTTCCTCCTCCGGTATAGTCCAGCGGCGCTCTCCCCGAGTCATGCACGATCGATAACCCACCACGTACCCGCCATTACCGTACCTTTACCGACCTCGTGGAAAATTTCGTACGCGGCAAGTAACCCGCGGGCATCGTTCGTGCCAAATCCTCCTTGCTTCTCCCATTCTTTCTTCGATCCTTCTATCCTTCCTCGCAGGTCGTTCTTACAGGAATCGCGACGAGAAGGCGGAGACGCATAGGTGAAGATGGCAAGGAACCACGCGAGTCCTCTCTTGGACGAGAAGGTTCGCCGACGAATCACCTCAACCAAGGAATACGCTAGAGAAGAAGACGCGATCTCGCGCTCGATAACGACGCGGCGGGAGGAAAGAAAAGCTCGATGTCCCGTTCTGTAATCCGAAGTGGTGTATCTTGGCGCGAAAGGTTGATCGGTTCGCGCGAAAGGATCAATCCGGTGGCAGTCGCGAATGGCTTCGTTGAATATTCTAAGCGGGATGTCGCGACACCGACAGCAGGCTTATCGAGAGGGGGTGGGAGGATGAACTTTTATCGCGATCGTGTTCTCGAAAACGATCCGACGACGACGACGACGACGAGGACGGCCGACCGTTTCCTCGAACCGAGTCCAGATTAAATCTCGCGGAGATGGCGCAGATGGAGGATCGCGATTCGATCGATTCCCGACGGTGTAACGCGTTTCTCGCGGAATTCTAGTTGAAAATACGTCTCCGGATATTCGGAGGCGAAAGGGAAACTGGTGGAAGGGATTGTCGTTAACGAGGGGACCCTTATCGTTTCCCTGTCGTCCGCGTAAATCTCGTTACAGAGACGAGGAGGAGGAAGAGGAAGAGAGAGCCTTTATTAAAAAGGGCGATCGCTTGTAAACTTGTCCTCTTTGGTTGTGATTGCAGTTTTGCCGCAAGAAGGGCCGGAGATAACCAGCGTGGATAAAATTTACGCTACTGGCGACGTCCTCGGGCTGAATTGCACCAGCGGCAAGTCTAATCCCGCCGCGACACTCAAGTGGTTCATCAATGGGAAGCAGGTGAGAGAGCGTTCCTTCTGCTCGCGGGCAACTTTGCCGAAACGGTCGAACGCGCCTTCGTCGACGTCGAGAGGCACACGGCCGGAAGGTATAGATACTTGGAATTTCGAGAGTGTACGGCGAGAAAAGAGGCAAAGCGTTTGGCTGAGGCGAACAAGACGGAGGGGATCGTTAAACGAAAGAGAGTGAGAGAGCGCTTAGGTTGGTCGCAGCGACTGGGTGGTTGGGCCAACGATACCTCGGTAACGACGACGATGCTTGATGAGCCAAAGCTCCAATTAACGAGCGCTACCGAAAGCCGTGGTGCAGCGCGCGTATAGTAGGGCGCAGCCGAGTCTACATCCGTCGCTGCATCAACGTCCCACCGCCAACTCTTTGGCAAGCCTCCCTTTTTCGCTTCGCCTACTTCGAAACTACTTTGCGACCTTTCTCTCCCTCCCTCCCTCTCTCTCTCTCTTATTCTTCTTTTTTTTTGGAATTGTGAGAGGGGAAGCGGTGGTTGAAAAAGAGTCGAGGTTGGAGGAAAGAAATAAACGCAAAGTGGAAAGGAGAACAACGTAACTCGAACATCTCGGTTAATTGCTAATTAATCCGTGTCACGTAGACGTAAGGAATCCAATTTACTCGCGAATAGGAAGATCGTCGTTAAAGTCTAGGCGATCGAATTTAACAATTCGGCCGCGAGTCTGGCAGACGAAGAAGAGAGAGAGTCGCGAGGTCACGGCGCCTCTCTCCCCCCTCCAAGGATTTAAATATAATCCGCAAAGTGGAGGCAGTTGAGGCAGGCGCGCACGCGGACACTGACGCGAGAAGCGCAAGTGTACGCGCTTAAAGATTACGCGGATGAACGTCGGTGCCCCTTTAGGGCTTCGCGAGCGAATCGAGCGCGGCGGCTCGAAAAGTTTCCTCTTATCCGTTCGACGTCTCCGCTCCTCTCCCTTCTTCCTTCTTCCTTCTCCTTTAGGGCTCGGAAAACTTGCCAACCTTCTCGACGATGTCCATTAGGAGTTGAGCGAGTTTAGCGTGCCACTTAACGCGAGTAATATTGTTTCAAAAACGTTCTAGCCTCGCGAGTCTAGAAAGATTCTACCTGGCGACAAAGCCGACGGGGATGGACTTTGACTTTTCCCTGGCGCCTCGCTCGATCGCTGTTCCGCCACTGCCTCTAGCTGCACTTAATCTTTGATTCTCTTTCAATTACCCGGCGAGAAGCCCCTCCGAGCCTCTGTAGCTTCTTCTCTCCACGCTTCTCCCACCGGTGTCGAGTCGATATTTACCAAAAAGCGAGCGCGATCGACGCGTTTCTCGTTCGCGATAAACCCCGTGACAGAGCGAGGAGGTGAGAGAAGGCGGGGAAAGAGGTAGACAAAAATACGACGGATCGCGATCAAAGGGACCGAGAACCGAGGGAGGCGAGCCGAGGAGAGTGCTGCTTAAAAATGATTTAATTTCGAGACTCGTTTATGTCTCCTGCCCCTATAGACCGACGGGATAAAGGAAAGAAGAAGAGGAAGAGATAGATGGCGATAAAAGCGAGAACAACGGGGAACGATACGTCTGGTTCGCGTCAAGTTCTCCGGATTTGCGCGGGAACGTTGAACGAACAAATTTTCTCGGCAAACCCGCGCCCCGTGTATCTTTCATTTCGCAGAAGGAAGGGAGGAAGACTGGGTTCTTTGCTCGGTTAGCCCGCGGCACCGAATCTCGTTCCCTCTCAGAGGAAATCTCGAGTCGACGCGCCGCGCCGTCACGCCTAAGCTTGCCACCCGTTACCCTGTCGCGAACCATCGCGTTAATCTCTTTCTTATCTCGCCCTTCTTTATCCCTCTTTCGTGCGATATTCGAACGATCGAAGTAGGTTGAAAAGTATCCCCAATGATCGTAAGGGAAAGTTGGTTGTAACTATCTGTGGATAGAACTCGGACAACACGTTCCGACGGTGGTTCGTTTCAGGTGAAGCCCGACACGAAAACGACATACGAGCATCACGGACTCTACTCGGTGATGTCCAGTTTACGATTGCAGTTGGAACCGAACCACATCACCGGCGACAAAATAAACGTCAGGTAATTCCGTCCTGGACAATCTCTCCTCCCCAACCACCATCACTATCATCATCATCATCATCATCACTTGATCCAGCCATAGGATTAATGCGTCTCTATAAATTTTGTCGAAGATGCGAGGCGACCGTGGAATTGGAATCAAACTCGGGCGCGCTGCTCGTCAAGCCGCGCACTACGGAGGTTTTCGGTAAGAGCAGAGAGAGCGTCGCG